CAGAAACGGTGTGATACACCTGCTAGGTTCGAAGTCACACCTCGCGGCCAGCATCTCACGTCAATTACCTCTTCGACGTATCGAAATACTATGGCTACTTTGAAGACCGTAAAACACAAAGGACATCACTACGGAAATATATTAGTATGAATAAGCATAGGGAAGATAGCATGAACATCACCGCATGCGTCATTAACATAGAGAAGGAAAAGAAGAGGGCCTAAGATGGTGCCTTAGGGTACACCACTTTTGACCGGCTTCCAATCGGATAGCGCTCCATTCACCCTCACTCTCTGTCTGCGGTCACATAAGAAGTTTCCTATCCACTCCTATACAGTACCTATTATTCCGAAGCTCGTGAGATTCTGCATAAGACCTAAGTGTGAAACCTTATCAGATGCTTTGCTAAAATTTATGAATCTCACATCGACAGACAGACCTTTGTTTAAGGCTGCTGTCCAATCCTCTCTAGCAATAAGCAAGTTAGTCAAGCATGAACGCTTGTTACGAAATCCATGTTGCTCATGAGCTAACAGATTGTGTGAATCTATGTGGCTTAGCAACCTTACCAGACTTGTCTTTTCAAGTAACTTGACGACAATGCTAGTTAGACTGACAGGCCGGTAGTTATATACGATCTGTCTCTGACCATCCTTAAATATAGGACTGACTATAGCGTCTTTCCAATCTCTAGGGTGCTGAGCGAGTGGAAGGGACATGTTGACGAGTGCTGCGAGTGGTTTTGAAATAATGTCCGCAAGAGATGACAGCAACCGTGAGTGTAACCCGTCAGGGCCCGGTATCTTACAAGATTTAAGGTTAGTTATCAACGGAAGGACAGTTTCCACAATCACCTGTACAGATTCAATGGTTGGTATCTCGGTGTGAGTGGGACAAGTATTTGTTACAATAAACGTAGAGAAGACTTCGCTAAAAAAATCTGAAAAAGTCTCAGCTTTTGCTCGATCTGATTCAGCTAGTAATTCTGAATTTTTGTGTAACAGCAACGGGGGAATACCATCACTACGTTTCATTTGCCGTTTAACATACGAAAACAATCGTTTCGGACAAGTACGGCTATCATATACTAACTGTCGCTCGTAAGTGGTACGGGATTTTGCTATGGTTTTCTTACAGATATTATGGTATTTTTGGTACTCACGCTTAAATGGTGCATGACCTGTCAACAAGAATCAGTCCCAGAAATGTTTCTTACGCTTTAACAGCTTCCGGGTTTCCTTATTAACCCATGGATAGCAATGTGATAGCTTACGTGCTGACCATGGGATAGACGGCGACGTTACGGACTCGAATGTAGCCTTAAACGTATTCCATTCGTCTTCGATCTATCCATCTGCGTCGACTGACCAATCAGTCGAGATAGCACAGTTTCTGATTGCCGGAATATTGGCTCTCCAGATATTGGGACGGGGTGGTGCAGATACAAATCGCGTGCCATGTGTTCTAAACTTAAAGTGATGTACAATGTGATTGCTGTTCACTAGCGTGGGAAGGTGCTGAATATCAAAGACACCCTCAAAGTGGTGGGTGAGGTCCAGCAGTGACGGATCATGTTTCAAGTCAATACGCATCCATTATGCGGAAGAATGTATGTATTTTGGTACAGTTAAACAGACAAGTACGGCATAACAATCCCTGGTACAATTGGTTACAATAATAATTGTTTCCATTACATCAATCGCGTTCTCTGGATAAAAGTAGGTCACTACAACCACATTCGAAATTTGTATACTTAACATAGTCTAGCAGTAGGTCCTTGAGAGTTATATAAGAAAGTGAAATGCGCTTTTCCGGTAAAGCCAGAATTTTTACTAAGATATATGCTTCTTTTCCGACTAATGTGAGGAAATATGCCACAATATTAACATCCCCATCATCTTCCTTGGTCATAGTCTAGATTTCGAAACTTTCAAAATAATCCTCAAAAGTACAAAAATCTGAATGTATGTCCAACCGTTCCATCTCAGGCTCCATCGCGACGCCTATATGATGATTAAGACGCTGACAAAATGCAGAGTCTTCTGACCACTCTAAGCAACAATGCAAGCATGTTCGGGATGCGATTTTCTCCCTCGAAATGCAAAATGTTGCTTCAGGATTGGGTTACATCGACACCCGAACTAGTGATAGGGAGTGAAGTAGTTGAGTGTGTCGACCGCTTCACTTATCTTGGAAGTCTCATCAGCTCTTGTGGTTTAGTGTGTGACGAAATCTCAGCACGGATACAGAAGGCTCGACTAGCTTTTACAAACTTGCGTCATTTATGGCGTAGGCGGAATATCCGTCTATCAACCAAAGGACGGGTTTACTGCGCAGCAGTTCGTTCCGTCGTACTTTATGGCAGTGAAACATGGCCAGTAAGAGTAGAGGATATTCGTAGGCTACTAGTATTTGATCATAGGTGTCTTCGAAACATTGCTCGTATATCCTGGGACCATCGGGTAAGTAATGCAGTTGTTAGGAAACGGGTACTAGGTAAGGATGGCAAATCAATTGATGAAGTAGTGAAACTTCATCAGTTGAGATGGCTGGGACACGTGTTACGTATGCCCAACCACCGACTGCCTCGACGTGCGATGTTCAGTGGTATAGGAGTAGGTTGGAAGAAAGCTAGAGGCGGCCAAACCAAAACATGGCACAAGTCTATGAAGTCACTGACAAGTGGACTGAGCCATGTTGGTAGGTGTAGACTACCTGGTTGGGATATGCGAGACGATAGCGACCGATTGTTAGAGACCCTGAATGACATGGCTCAAAATCGTTTGCAATGGCGCAGGTGCATCCACTGTCTGTGTTCTCCCAAATTCTAATCTCCTGAATTCTTCATGTCCCTTAATTTTTCTCTTTCCAGATTTATTTCACTGGATTATACTCTTTAAATAACATCTTCAACCCCTAATCTTTCCGATTACTGCTTATACTCTTACTACCTCTACCACTACGGGATTTGAATCGACAAGTGCATTTCTGTGCTAATGTGGTGTGGCAACTCGAACTGATGTACGTACGTACGAAGTTCTACGTTGTTACTGACTGACTGACAAATTAAGAATCCTAGAAATAACGTAATCAGATCAAGAAGTATTAGATAAGCGCGAACGAATGTACTGTATTCGGAATTCGAAATCATGCATCCAAAAAGTGCAAAGGAATCATTAGTTCATTCAAACACCACAGCAAGTTGGAATTTGAACTTTTCCGTTGTCATGCTACATTACTGTGAATCACATGATTACGAACGACTGCCTACCGCCCATCTGCTCACGGGTTGGTAGAACGATTTTACCGACAGCCCCACCCTCATTTGCGAACGTTACACAGTTGAACGGCGCTTTTCCACTCGTTTTACTCGGTATTCGTAATGCAGTCAATGTTGACATTGGATACACTCATCTGCGAATCGACCGTCCAACTTCAAGGACAATTTGTGAACCGTCCATTTTTGTTAACGATTATTGATCTAAACTCTCACGCGAGTATACTTACAAATGCCATGCGTTCACTTAAAACTGTTTCCAATCAACCACAGTCAACTGATGTTTTCGTTCAACCTGACTCACGACATAGTACATATGTTTTCTTACGTCATGATTCATTACGACGACCCCTCGAAAAGGCGTACGAACAACCCTTCAACTCCTTTATCTTGAATCTAAATAATATTTTATTAATAAAAACTGGGTGAATTCAGTGTTGATCGTGTCAAATTCGCGTATTTAAAAGGAGACCATAATAATGTGGACTTTCTTCACTTAACACTCATAACCTAAATATGCCAACCCAGTCAAATCAGAAGTGAAGAATGAAGGAGTTTGAAAATATATTTGGAAGGCTATCTGTATGTCGAAGGAACGTTTGGTCCAAGCTTGCAGGTAGTTGAGAGGGATGCGTAGCACAGCGTATCCACTCGTGATCTGATACGTAAGCGTAACCGAGCGCTTTCAGCTAGGTGAGTCCAGTAAAACTAATGAGGTCAGCATCAAGTGTCAAAGACTTGTGGATCTATTGACTTTGGGGATTTATTTATGGCTACATACTCAAGTGAAGTAAGACTCACCCTTGGGTTTTCACACTGTGACATGCTATAATTTGTACACTAATCTTCATTATTCTCACTGTATTATACATCAGTTGTTGTACTATAACGCCATCATGATTCGCTGTAACTTCTAATGCAAGCAAATCATTCTGATCTTTCCATATATTAAAATATTTGACTTGGGCACTTGCACATGGTAATACGTACGTTTCCATGTACTTTCTAGTGCCTTTTTGAGGGTGGCCAAACTTAACTCACTATTTCGTCAGTCGGTGTTGTACCAAACTATAGTGCTTCATATATTAGGTCCAACTGTTAACTTTTATCTGCTTTCACTTTTAGCATATATGAAAAATATATATTCCAAATACAGTTTGTGTTTAACTTTCATTAGTTACTTCAAATCAACTCTATATATCGACAGAAAGTATACAAAGTGTGTAGGATATTCATTTTATTAGCATCATTTTTTAATCCTTCGCGGGTCAATAATACAGACACACAATTGGCACATGAGAATCTCATCAACCAAGATACGTGGTATACAGAAAACAGGCCACTCACGATCTTCAGATAATTCGATAATGTTTCTGAGCTGAAGAAGACGATAAGGACCCGGATGAATAATGTACCTGAACTTAAAATGAGACAACTGAAATACAAAATAGTGATCCATCAACCCAGAGAAACAGTTCCTTGCTTGGCTTGTGAGAAAATATGGTGAAGATGACTGCCAAGCAGTTAGTACGTAGTGACGCCTGCTGAACCTATCAAGACCATCCAAAGTGTCAAAAATTATTCTACTGAGAAATTATTCATCGTTCAAAGAATTGTCTCGTTCTATCTTGCTCACGAACAGTCAAAATAAGCCTCTACATTTGTCTGAACAAAAAACCTTTATCTTGGCTTAGACATGTACAAACAAGTATCATGTTCAGTGTTTCTGGTTAAGAATATATTGCAAACTGATTACTGTTATGAAAAAATATATGCTCTTATGGCTGTCCAGTAGTCGCGAATTTCACGTTTCAGTGATAGAACAATCATTTCATAGAAAACAATATTTTTGAGATACAAGGATTATGCATAACCATGTTGTTGAAACATTTAGTATTTGTTTTTGTCGACCGATTCCTACGTTGTCACTATTACAAATAATTTCTTAGTTCCTGTTAGGATGTTGTCGGGTAGCTCAATTTGTATTGGTTAGTCTCAGAAATAAAATTATGTGGTTATTTCCAGAGCTTTTGTTTCTTGTGCTTTTATCACATTCTAGTAGCGATGTACACGGGATTACAGAAACAGCTGGTAAGTCACATGACTTTCATAAGTATACTTATGAAACGTCTTTTTCTAAACTGATACAAAACTAGCACCGATTGGCCTAAATTAATGAGTTAAGTTTAATAATGCTAAGTCCACTGAAGTTCGTTTCCGATACACTGACATATACGTCATGTACTTACAGGTATTTATAAGTACACCATCATTTTCGAATATTTTTTGAAAATCTCCGACAATTCCTCGAAATTCGGAAATTGGGATGTTTTATACGGGTTTACCGAATACTGTGTATATGCTAAAGTATTATTCGTATTGTGGTGAAACTATATTGGTATTGATGGTTATAATCTTGGAGATTATTATTACTAGGGCAACTTACAGTACAGAACCTCTTTTTTCAAAATACATCAACAACATGAGGATGGACTCTTTAAATACTGACAAACATACGGATCTCAGTTTTGTATGTCGCATATTGCTGCTCGTATATTTGTTTCTGTATCTCAATCTCATCTGTTGTGGATGGTATTTCGGGTAATGTAGAAAAACAGTAGAGTATTTGAGTTATTTGGAAATGTTTTGAAAGAAGCTGCCCCTAAGCAGGGTTTTTAATCCTCAAAACGTTCAGGATTTGATATCTATTGGCATGTATACGATAAATTAGATATGCTCTGGCTTAAAAAAGACGTCCCCACTTTAAATATTAGCTGTCCTTCCAAAAAGTAATTATTATTTGGGCATGTGCCATAGAAGCTTATTTTTGCTTACTCCTAGTTTTGTCTTAGCATTAAATACAAACAAGTCATACAAATATAATTTTAGCTGTGTTCTAGCAAATAAAAATTATAGGAACAGTGGCAACTTCAAACATTTTGATTCTTTGGAATTAAAGGATATACTGATTATTTAAGTGACTTCTCCCACAAACTTTATTCTCAAATGTTCTACGCTCGTCGTTTAAATCTAAAAAACTGACCACCCTAAGATTTGGGATGATATAAGTTCAAAACTTGATTCGTGGTTAAGATGCAGAGATGATACAACTAATTCATGCAAAATCAAACAGATTATTATATGTTGCATAAATTATGTACATGTACATGTCTATTCATGCAACTTAATAAAAAATATTAAACTCATCTGCAAAAATGGAATCAAAGGTGAGAATCAACAAACAGATCTCCCTGCTATATATAAAAGACATGTCGGAAACTACAACAAAATTATTGAGGCCATTTGGAATATGTCCAGCATATAAACCATAAAAACCACTCAAATCAATTCAATACAAACCAAAGGATGAAGGGATAAAAGAAGGAGGATCAAATATCATTTACAAAATAAACTTTCAAATGCAAGAGAAACATCGTACCAAGTAGTCGCTTTCTTTATTTTCATCTGCGTCAATACCAAATAGCTATCAAGCTTCATAATGTACCTTTGCTCATATCAATGCGTGCAGACAGTTGAAAACAAGATAGATTAAGGAAATGTTGAGACGTTAGATGAAGAGAACACTAAAGATTTTAGAGAATTCCTAGCCATCAATAAATACACCCAAATACATACAATTTATAAACCAGTTTGAAAAATTGTGAATGAATATAAGATCCTTATTCAGATCCAAGTGGATTGCAACCGGAATAAATATGCAAACAACGACTGGGTAAATGTCAACAATGAACATTAAAAAACAAGGCCAACAGGGAAACTTGTCCTTTATATGTGAAGAAATTCAAATATATTACTTCTATCTGGAATTCATGAAAATGATGTGGTTCGGAGAAATAATGAAAACTCCATTATGAAATTATTTAGCTCAGACAACGAAACTCAAACAAACACATTGAGATGCTAGTTCTCTTGGTTTTCTTTTACAACTACAGCAGTCTTTGTCAGCCATGGAAATAAATATTTAGAATATGGATAGTTTCGGTTTGCAAATTTTAGTGTAGATAGATAAATCAAGGGGTAATTGAGTTTGTATTGCCTAAGGTAAAATCGTAGATGTTTATGTACTCATTACGCTTACTTAAAAATCGTTTATGCGTATATCCAGGAGCAAAAATATCTTGTGGTAAATGAAGCTTGGATAAATGAGTAAGGTTGAGCATCGAGTCATCAACTCCTTCCCATAGAAAATAATCTCTTTAACGAAATGTTAACCACAATAAACAATTTAAGGCATTTAAATTCTGCCCTATGAGTTAACGGATTTTCATTCGGAAGAATTGTGACGTTTCACTGTAAAGGCTGAGGTTATTCGGAAGTCAAGAGGCCGATGGCTCTTCTAAAAACTCGAAGAACAATTAATATAGGTACATGGAATGTCCTATGAGCATTTCGTAGTGTTTATAGTAAGATCTTATGGAACCTCTTTTGACACTATGGCGTACCTGAGAAGATCGTCAAAATCATCCGGGACTCATGGGACAGGCTACAGTGAAAAGTGGCACATGGAGAACAGCTGACAGATGTATTCCAAGTGAGGACCGGAGTCAGATAGGGCTACTTACTCTCCCCTATTTCTTTTTCTCAGTGTTTGATCTCCACATCTGACGGGAAACACGGAATATAATGAACATCTTGCATGCAACTAGGCGATTTGGACTTCGCAGACGCCCTAGCCCTTCTATCTCATACACACCAACAAATGCAGGTTAAGGCAACCACTGTAGAAGCAGTCTCTGCGGCAGTAGTTACTAACATACACAAAGGTAAAGGCAAGATCTTCAAATATAACACAGCACCATCTCAACCACACTTCATGGAGAAACTCCGGAAGATATGGAGTCTCACGTACCTGGTCAGCATCGTCGACGAACAGGGAGGATCTGATGCAGAGATAGAGGCGAGGATTAGCAAATCAAAGGCCACACTCCTACAGTTGAAGAGCACATGGAACGCAAAGCAATTGCTAACCAATATCAAAGTAAGAATCTTCAATACGGACGTCAAGACAGTCAGTTCTACTGTACGGAGCTGAAACTTCGAGAACTACCACAATCATCATCAAAAAGTCACAAGTATTTCACATAATTGCCTGCGCAAGATACTAAATGTCCGTTGGACGGATATCATCAGCAACAACCTTCTGTGGAAAGGGACAAACCATCTATTTGAGGAGGAAATTAGGAAAATATGCTGAGAGTGGGTGGGACATACGTTACGAAAATCACCAAACTGCATCACGAGGCAAGCCCTAACTTGGAATCCTGAAGGGAAGCGGAAAATAGGATAACCGAAGAACACACTGCGCCGAGAATCGAAAGCAGACATGAAAAGAATGAATAGCAACTGGGAAGAGCTGGAAAGGATTGCTCAGGACAGGGTTGGATGGAGAGTGCTATTGGGCGTCCTATGCTTCTTCACGAGAAGTAACAGGCGTAGATAATTAAGTAAGGTTAGATAAATCATAAGTAAGTGACAAAGTCTATAATAAAGCTACACATGAAGGTGATTTTTGCTGTTTGAGCGAAAAAGAAAATGGTTGTTTTCCTGACTCATCATCAAGTGTAAGTGGACGTTGTATGTGATTTTAGTGTTAATATAATCTCTACTTTGGTTAATAAGCGAAGTCCTGTAGACTTTGATAGCTTCTTTAGTATTTTTCAAATGACGCTGAATAATGTGTTTTTTATATAGTCGTTTATATTCATCAAATTGAACAATAGAATTTCCCAACACACTTAGTCATTGCCTCATTGAGCTGCTCTGAATAATGTTTGAAAGAAAACTATGGTCTTTCTATGTTATTCTAGAATATAAAATTCATTAATGACCCATACCGAGCTGAAATTCAAGTACAGAGAACCAGTAAAATCTGGGCAAGTCTTAGATTGGACTTGGAATATATGGGCTGAATAGCATCCTTAAAACAAGCCCGTCGTTAAATGACTATAGCTTTATGTTTTGAGCTTAACATAATATTTGACTTCATTTGAACATGGCCTTAAAAGTTTTTATTTATTCTTAAGATCTTTTACAGATTGTTTTGCTTCTTGAGTACTCGTTATTCAACTTGAATTAGCCACTTGATATGACATTGTTTGTAAATGTAAAAAAATCAGAACTCAGCGCATAATTTTAATAACAATGTGGGGATATTTTAAGTAATATATTTATATGTTGCATTTGTCTCCTGTGCTGGTAACGGCCAACCAACTAACTTATCTATCTTTTATGGCATCGTTGGTAGCCTTATATGAACCTTACATATTCTCAACTCGTCAATCAGAACACCACATGGCCAAAATAGTAGTCATAGATTTCTGGGCGTATGGCTATCATGTTTATATATTTAAAATATTGAAGCATAATGCACGACAAATAAACTACGAAACGTACGTTTCTCTGGCCTTTGTTAAAGCACAGCTAATTAACGCATAGCTAACTGTAATTTTTGAACAGTAAGCGATAAAACAACAAATAATTGATTAAATGATAGCTTATTATCATAGCTTTTTTTAAGAAAACATTAAATTAATTATTTAATAAAATTCCATCTCAACTCACTCAAGAAATGTCCTTCTGGGTTTCATATTTTAATTTTCTCATCACTCACTAACGACTTTTCGTCGATAATGTTCCTTGGGAATTAGACCGTAACAAAGCATATTATTTAGCATACTGATTACTTTGTATTCTCACTAACCCTGGTTAAACGTATGCTTGGTGAGATTTCGGTTCACAGACAAGAGATTCATATGAACTGTTAACTTTCCTTTCTAGAGGTATGTCCACAAGCTTGTTAGAAATTAATGTTGATATTTAACAGTCAGTTTTGTTTACCGTGAGATCCACCGAACAGTGAAAGTGATAGAATAAATATTTAACAAACATTGATTTAATATATGGGAATCACAAAGATATTTTTTGGTGCTTAGTATAAATTGATTGGTTACGGGATAATTCCATTAAAAAGATTGCGTATTTTTATCTCTTAAAATGTCTGTGATTTGGGCTTTATCCGTCTTGTCACACATGTTGTAAAATGTATTAAGTTGCTGTGGCTAAATATGGCACTTGGTCACGAAGCCCCTAACTGATCGTATAAATCAAATAGAAGGGCCAGGGATTTCTTGGAAGATTTCACGGTACATAGAGGAAAGTAGTAAGAGGCTCACATTTCTACGATTAGTTTCCTATCTTAATGACTCATAGTCGAATATTCTTGGAGCTTTTTTAATTTTATAACCTTGCTTGTTATCATTTGTATTTTCATTGTAGTTCCTTGTTAACTTTGGCGCTACAATAGTAATTTAATCGAGTTTCCTTCAGTCAATCTCCCTTGTTTGCGTTGAAGTAATGTGTAGCTACTAAGAACGATACATATTGTTTCTAGGTTTTGCGTTGTTACTATGTTTCTGTCTGTTTTTTCTAGAAATAGCGAATGAAATGCCTGTTAATAGAACTCCACTTTTAATTGCTATTTACCAGTTATTTTTATCCTGTCTAGAATATTTTTGCGATGTCTAGCTTCTGACGTTATCTATTTTTCTTGTCATTAGATGACTAGGATGTAAGGTTTTAACGTTTAGATGTTTGATTCACTATGCATCAATTATTGGATTCTCTTAAAAGTGCGTAATATAAAAAGACTTTTTGAAGAAACAACCCTCGAAACCATTAAAAATACACTAGTAATATTTTGTCGATAGTTCATGTGGTATTCCATTTTCTTTTTGAACTGTAAACTAGCATATTTAAAATCTAAAAGCTTAACGAACAACAAATGAAAGGTTATCATTAGACTGCTCAAATTTTACTTATGGTTCACTTAAGTATGTGTCTGATCTTGCGAACTGAAGCTTCACAAACTAGTAAAATTAACCATTTTGTTTTAGTGCATAATATGCTATACATGTATTATGACAGATAAATTACAGACCACAAATATCATTCACATGAGACTGTTGTAGATCTGTCGAATATTTTAGAAAGTAACAATTATAGGTCGCTTGATTATCTGTCATCTAAGGAATCTTTGACTATGAACTTAACAATGTTTATTGATAATGGCGAATAAGGAACCAATATTTTAGTCTTTAAGCAAAGTTTGTCGGGCTAAATTGTCTACTGGTTCAAGCAAAAAAGTTTTTCCTTACACCTACCGCCTATACTCCAAATAAAATTTCCCATTATTCAGGTTATGCGACCTCGTCACAATCTTCGGAGACAGAAGAAACAGAAGCGACTGATTATTCTGATGACATAATTTTTCCAGTCATGAATGTACCTTACGATGACATTACTGCCAACGGTACTAGTTTACCATATTTACCTACAACAACAACAACCGATGGACCTAACTCGACAACATGGGAATCAACCACTATAGTACTTCAAAACACAACAGATCATTCAAATGATTCGACTATAGCGATAGAAACAACGGAAACGGCTACAACAATGGGAGTGACAACAAAAGAAATGGAGACAACAACAGTAACAACGGCAACAGATATGATCACAACAGTTGTACCTATTCCAAATGTACACAAATTTTCACTGAAAAATGGAAGCTCTTACTGCCTTCTGTTTCAAAGCGATATAAAATTTCAAATTTTCTATCACAGTCAGGTAAGAATATGCATTGTTTAAAAGGGATATTGTCAAAATTCTCCCTAGAAAAATCACAAGTTTTTTATGTGCCATTGCATTTCCTTATACAAGTAGACTAAATAATTCGTCAAAAATATACTTAGTTTACAATATCCTTATGATTTGTTCTGAATTAGTTGGAACAATTTCTGTGAATAACGTTTTTTCCACTGTTTTAGGTATCGTCTATGGTGGAATGCATAAGCTCATATAATCGTGAATAATTTTATTTATTGTTATCAAATCATTATGACTCCCGTTTTTTTATTGGCTTTTTTGCAAATATTACTAAATTTTCTTTGAATAAATCTATAGATTTGCATGAACCTGATGTTTAGTGTGATGTGCATAAATATCATCAACACTGAATTGATATACAAAGAAGTATCCCAAAAGGGTATAACGAATATGTATTATACCGTGACCACATAACTGATACATGAAGATGTATTACTTTTATTGTTTAGGAATAATTTCGAAACTTCCACAGTCAAACATCGAATTTTAGGAAACCCTAATTTTTTATCACACTAGCTTATTGTCGATTGCATGCCTTTGCTTTACATAAACAAAATAAAGAATTTGACTAGCTGGCAACCAGTTGTTAGCTTTGGAAATAATTTTCTCTTAACTTCTTTAATATAAAGACTGTCTAAGAATCACTACTTCAATATTTTTTGAGTGATTTAACACAAAATCTAAAATTATTTCTCGAGGATAAATGAAAAATCCACATAGAAGTTCAGATGAATATGGCTTTTGTGAATGTATCTAAAGTCTTAATTAGACGGTATTGACTGTATTCTCCGAGCGGTGATCTTTGTTCACATCCAGACAATGAAGCAGACTATTCAGATTTTGAGCTGGAACATCCAGATGGTGTTTTTAAATTTGATAATTAGTTTTATAATGCAACACTTGTAATTGCATATGGCTTACATCATTTTAACTCATACGCAGAAAAAAGTCAAGGCATATTAAATACCAACTGTCAATAGATAGCAACGTAATTTCTAAGGGTGTACTAAATATCTGATGAAAATCTCATTTGTATTTTCAGGATCATGAAATATGATATTACTTGTAACGTCTTAAAAAGTTTTCTACTGGTTTGTAACTCGAGTTTTTTTATCCTTAATATAGTAAATAAGTGTCAAACGTTATCCAGTAACAAAAGCAAATTGTTTAGTATGCAGTCAGAGCACACTAGCTATGTATTTTTGGCACCAGAGATTTCCAACTACTTTAAATAAATCCAGGAATTAGTTACCACAGAGATATACATTTTTGCATTTCCATTTTATTTTTATGCCTGTATTCAGCTTTATAAATTCCGTGACAAACTACAATTCACAGCTGCGTTGAGGACATTTTAAAAGGAAGAATGGATCAGAAGACCATACAACTCTTAAGAGATTTTAGTCACATTAATTTATTCTAGTACTTATCTCTAACCACTGTGTGTGTGCTTAAAATAGTAGGATTCGATGATATATTTAAACTCAATTATTGAAATTTATCTACTGTTGTTAGTTTTTTATGTACCAGTTACTTTTAAACTTGATTATCATTCCTCTTATAAATTGTGTTCCATTTGAAAAATAGAATAAACTGGTAAAATCTTACGAATTTACTGTATCTAATGCTACTATTAACGATAATGAAAGTGTATGTAGTGAACATTACACAAAATTATCACTCACGTTCATACCATATGGACAAAACGAAGAGCATAAGTGGACATTAGTTCTTTTGTTTAATCTTATGGAACCAAACAAAACTTCAAATGATGCGACTACTGTGAGATCTACTTATACATTGAACAGTTTAATATTAAATTATTATATGGATAAGACTTTATTTCCGGATTCATTGACACCAGGCAAGTTATGTCTTTTAATACTTATTCTTATTTTTTATTATCACTTAGCTAGGTTTGAGCTTCTGTTTTGACATCCTTAAGGCTCTAAGTTACAAAATTACTTAATTCTCACTCAATAAAACAACTGTATGACTGTAAAACTGAAGCACTCCGTTATACTTGTAAGGAGTTATGATAAAGTTTAGTAGGATTTGTAGTCGTCATATCCTGTTACTATCAACTAGTAACAAACTTCATGTTATTAAATAAAGCCAGAACGAACATGGATGCATAATAACATGAATTCATTATATTTTGTGGTTTCTCATCAGCTGCTTATAACCAAATATGTATTAAAATTTTACATTGAGGGTAAGATATATTGTGAAACGATTGACATCTTATTTGTTACTCCTCGTGAAGGAGCATAAGCCGCTCACCAGCATTCTCCATCCAACCCTGTCCTGGGCAGTCCTTTCCAGCTCCTTCCAGTTCCTATTGATCCTTTTCATATCTGCTTCTATTTCCCGACCTAATGTGTTCTTTGGCCTTCCTCTTTTACGCTTCCCTTCAGGATTCCAAGTTATGGCTTGACATAAGCGAATATAAAGAATTGGAATAACAAAGGTTATCAATAATAACTATATATGTGTGTGCAAGTACAGGTCGGAGGTTAGAATCAAATAGCATGGGGGATGAATGATATAATAATTGAGTGAAGTTCAAAGACAGATAAATTGTGTGATAATTCTAAAGGTAATGAAGGGTTTGCACAAGAATCCTGGGATTTAAAAAAAACCCTGGTAAGATGAGTTGCGCAATAATTAAACAAGATTTGATGATTAAAAATGAAAAACACGAAGCGCAGAGAGGGTATCTCTTCAATGAATTCATTATAATTAAGATAACCCATAGTGTCATTGAATAAGAAAAATAGAATTCAGCGAAGAAAATTTTCTTTTCAACGAAATCATTTACTTAAGCTGTACATTCGTATATGGAAAATGTATGTCTATAGGAGGATAGAAAAAATTGCATAAAAAAATAATTTCGAGGATAAATAGCAAATGAGGTTACGTACTAATCAAGGGGTAAGGTAGGAAATAATTTATCCGTCAGATAATAGTCCAATTGACAAATATGAAGATTAGGGACAAACACATAGGTCATAATAATAATCAAGAAAACTTGTATAAGGTAATAATATTAATAATAATAACTGATTAGAGTTTAAAATGCAAAATAGTAATTTCAAAAAATTTGATAATAATCAAATAAAAGCGCAGAAATAACAAAAGAAAACCCATTAAGGGAATTAGGGCCAAGGAAGGATGAGAGGTTGGACAAACCGTTTCTGCACGCAGAGTTCGGGCTTGAGTTCGTGAATTGCCAGCGCCTCAGCAGTGCACAAAATATTGATACGACACCCCTTCGATCCTATATATATATATATATATATATATATATATATATATATATATATATATATATATATATATATAATTGTAGGAACTTGTTTACTAAATAGTGATACGATTTAAAGAAAAGTATCGAATTTTCGATTATAATAAGGACATTGGTGAAAACTGCAATGTTTCCCATGGTAAATTCTTTCATTTCTTATTAATACCTATTCATTTCAGTATCTTTACATTATTAAACAGTCCATTGTCTAAGTCTAGAATATTGTCTGGCTCAAATATATGAACAAGTCATTTTCATATAACTGATACGAAATGTATTCTTTCCATTATTGCTGTTTCTCCATTTTAAAGATCTCCTTTAAACTTACAATGAAATTCAAATGAGTCTCTTACTAGTGATCTGGTAATTTTTTAGTGAAACGTTTGAAGATGGACCTCTACAGAGCTGCTGAACTTTTATTTAGTTATAGCAGTATTTGAAGTTATATGCTCACAATTGAGAAGAAATTACTTAGGTCACTAAATAAACTCTGAACACATAGTGGTCTTACTTAAAAAAACTGGTCTCTATTTTTCATATTTCTATAGTATTCAAGCATCTAAGTTAATCAATTTCAACCTTTCTAAAGAACGAAAACACAGGCGGCTGAGAAGAAACGTTTAAACATTTTTCATAATCTTATTTAGATTTATTCATTCTTTTTTTATTATCTTAAAATAAATGTGTCCTCAATATAATGTACTCGTAATTGTTAACTGGTTGTAAGGAGTTAGTAAATATCCTGGATTTCGATTTTATGTATGTTATCTATATTAGTTTCCATCATGTGTCATTTGGAAAAACAAAACAGTTAGTGTAAAATTAGTAAGATGGTCATAGTTTCATATAGGTTTGTAATTTGCTGTTTCTAATTCTATCATTAGGTCAATATGTTAATGTGTCCAGCAATAATATGGTATTTAGAATACCTGTTGGATCATATTATTCATGTTTGATTGTACCGGAAATTACCTTGACTGGAAATGAAAAAATCTTTAATAGTTGCAAGTTATTTATGAAAAATTTGAAAGTAGAAGCATTCATGAACAATTCTGTGGAAGCATTTATTGGAAACGGTAAGTTGTATTAACCTAATCTGGTTTGTTGTGAATATCGTTCCACTTGCATTGTTAACCCTTAACACTTACTCATAATTATGCGCTGGTGTTAGAAGTTCATTGAATTATAGTAAACAAAAAATAAGGTTTATGAAAACCAAAAATTATATATATATATATATATATATATATATATATATATATCTTCAGCACGGTAAACAACAGTATATTACAAGAATGAACTGAATTTTAGTCACTACCTCATTTATGAGGTTTCCATTACATATAATAGTAAAAACACAAAGAATATAACATTAGAAATCCACAAATTAATATTATGAAACTAGTTATTTCGTATCTTATTTTGTTATTATAAATAATAAATGCCAATCCTGTTTACATCATCTTATCAGTTGGTGAGGTTTGTTATTTTCTGTCTGATAGTAGCAGCAGCAAAATTCTTTCATTTGGAGTAAAATAAGTTTATAAAAATCGTATTAACCTTAAAACAGTTTTAATAGCATTGGTTGTTATTATGAAATTAGCGTTGTTTGTACTAGCAGATCCAGTTATACCATTTTGACTAAAGTAAACTGACTAGAAATTGATCTGAAATATTGTGTAATTTTATCGACCAATAAGTTAAACGTTTTCACTTACACGCCGTTTAATAGTAAAACTCTTAGAGAGTGCTTTATTTCCAAAATGTTCAATCAAAATGGTAACTCACCTTTTTTGAATTAAAACTTAATATAAATTTAAATTTGTCACCATATTGTTAGATTCTTGGTAGTTCATCCCAGAAGCTACAATTTTCACCGTAATCAATAGTACTAGGAGGAATTAATAAATTTACTGTGGCTGTTCATTTTAGCCTCCGAATTTATTTTCTTTTGAAATAATAGCTGATTCAAGTCAAAGGAAATTATGCTTTCTGAATTTTCTGTTTAATAAATAGTTCAGCTAGTGTGCACTACAGTTTGCTTGTTTACTAGGAATATAAGTGTTTAATTTGTTACTAACCGATTAAATTACTATGACGTATCCGTAAAGTAATTAATCCTAAAAAAATACATGGATACTATCAATACTACTTAAAAATCAGGCTGCCAGAAAAACCTGAGATTTAATTATTTTCCACTTAAATATACTTCATTTAATCAGTTTTATAGAAATAAATATAAAAAAATAGTAGAACTAATTCTCTACTTGGATATATTTCTTCCGTTAATAGATATAGTAATCTTTTTGTCGAGATTACTGTTACCTACTTATCGAGGAATTTGTCACCATAGTTATGAAATATTCTTACAAGCTAATAAAATTGTTTCATAAACCAATGTTTCTCCGTTTTTTGTTATACAACATTTAACTTATATCAAAGACTTAAGCTTATAAGCATTAAATTTTAATCTTTCACGGAAGATTACTTCCGAAATAACTTGTTTGTTTTCAATACTTAACCCTCCCCCTTTAATTTTCTTTTTAACAGAAACGTTATGTGAATCAGATGTTAATGTTAATAATATGGTACCTATTGGTGTTGGTATTGCACTAATTGTCTGTATTGTGGTTGCCATAACTGTATTTATTGTTTTCAGCAAACGCAATCGTCGTAGTTACACTACACTTTAACTAAATGAGTTCCCTTCATGTACGAATTTATCTTATATAATGTATCGCATTCTTATGTGTTTTTAGGTATTTGCACGTTTGTATGTATGTATGATTAAGTGTACGTTTTCCAGCATGGGGATTACTAACTGAACTGACTATCATTTGACACATTCAGGTATTTCATCTAACCTGTCGTGTTTTACTGACAACTCAATTTGTGTTTAAATATTTTAACATTTCCAATATCTTCCATTACTATTACCGAACAATTCAGTCAATTTACGATTACATGATGTGATTTTTATCAACATTATATACAATGTATGACGTTTTTCAAGTGGATTTCATTGAATTTTCTATGCGACATGTCAATCATTACCACCTTCGCTACCGTTTTTTTCTCTTGACACTTATCTATTCACATTTTCTTATATGCAATGTTTTTTTTGTAATAATTTTAACTACCTAAATAAAACACAATACATATTATTTTTAGATAAGTGCTTGACTTTTGTTTGTCTTTTAAGTCAAAGCGATCAATGTATGATTTTTACGAAATTACTAAATCCCGCTTTGATCTTATGTCTTAAGGTTAAGTAACTCTCTGACTAATCTTTCTACAGATTTAAGTAGGAAAACACAATTTTCGACCAATCATATATCAGTTATCATAAATTCTTAGAAATGAGAAAGGTTGAGTGGATTCGTATTTTATTTCAAATAAGGTGTTTACTGTCCGGCCTATTTCGCACAGTTAAAAAAATGGAAACATAGTTACTTGTCATTTTTTAATTTCTAATGATATGAATAAATTGATTTGTTCCAAATTATTGATTTCCTTATGCAATGGGCCCTTGTCTCCACACTCCCGTCTTTTAATAGCATTAGTCTGATGTACTGCATAATTTTAAAAACGCTGGTCCAAGTTCACACCACAAAAAACTATGTTCGATGTAAAGATATTGAATTAAAAAAGCACATTAGTCGTGAGCAGAAAACAATGAAAGAAGCTAAAACTTTCAAGATTTGGAATTGGATATACCATGAACACTTAGTTACAATTATGGTCGGCTTCAAACGTTATATTTTCATAGTAACAAAATAATAATGTGTGGGTTTCCACATACTATACTCGCTTATCCATGGACAGTTGTATATATTGTTGGCTTCGTAATTTAATAAACTTGAAATGAAAATTCTTTATTCACTAACGGGGTTTTGTAATTAACCACCAATTGTGGCTGATGCAACCCCCAAAGCGAACAAACTTATCTGCATTTTTCTATCTCTTCTATAAACGGGTATTAACTGAGTAGAGTTCTTTATCATCGTTCATCTTGTGGGTGTAAGCTTTGTAATAGAATTTATCTGCTTTTTTGAAAAGACGCTCCAAAGACACTTAGAATTGCCAAGATTATTCAAAATAGCTTCTGATGGGTTAATTCTAGAGAAGTGTCTGCATATTCTTCATTCTTTTAATATGATCAACTAATGATGTACGGGGAGACCAGAAGTAGATAACTTGAAGATATATGTGGGGTTTTGTTCTCTGAGTTCGATGGTTTTATCGGAAACAAAACTACCAAAATCATCCGCTTAAGCTACAAATTTTCTCCATTTCAAAACCCAAAAATATTCTTTATCAAAACTCAAATTCCACCATAGCTAGTACTTACGTATTCACATTTAATCTATCCATTTCAAAATCTGAGACGAAAGCTCCATGATGTCAGTTTATCTTTCAACTCATATTTAGAATTATGCTTATTATACTGTATGTGGGCCTTTTAAAAAATGAATAGTTTTGTAATGATTTTAGTATTTTAAACTCGATATTTACCGTTATGTAATAATCATGAAAACGGAGCTAGAACCAAAGATCATTCAGGTGCATTGTGTTTCTAACGTTCAAACATTTAATCTCATGTTTTCTCTGTCTTTGCTACTATAACTGCTTATAATTACAGATTTATGCAGAGGATAAGTTCTGTCCGATAGTAATACTATCCCATTAGTGTAATTCATATATTCAGAACTAAAAGCTTGTGACTTAAGGCTTTATTGAGGCAATCCGCACAGGATGCACATATGCCAACAAGATTGCAGTACTAAATAACAATTGGGAGATACAAGTAAAACAACATCAGGGGAATCTAAATGATATTATTTTTAAAGCTTTTTGTTTTCCTTTCAGTAACCTAAATTACTATAAATCAACATTATTTAAAACATTAGTCTATAGAAAATGTCAACTAACTTTCATGAAGAGTACTTAGAGATTTTCTTCGCTATCTACTTATGTTTCTTAAGCAGTTGTTATCGAATATTATGAATAACTAGTTTTTCTTCAGTTACTCTCTTATCAGCATTTTATCTAAATTTCCAATGTCAACATAATTAAATCACATATATACCGTCAAAATAATCATTTTATGAGAAAGCAGATAAATCAGTGTACTTGGTGTAGAAGAAATCTTAAAATGATTGGAATAAAGAGATACGATATGATAGTTTAGTGAACGGTAACTACATTTTTTAAATGGTAAGTAGACTACTGTTATAGACACTTTCTACCTTGTTATCTTTTGTTTACTTAGTCTTTGTTACCTTCCATTATTGTTATCATTGCGTCGTTTTGTTTTCTTCTGGTTAACTTTTCGTTCACCAAGTAAAGAAAAATCCATATACACTTTTAAATTGACATGTTTTGCTTTAGGTTGCTTAAATTGGTTATATTTGCACTGAAATATAAGACTGAAGAAAATCAGTTCAATTTGATGAGGTCTTAAATGACTCAACATAAAATGTTTTTGATTGGGATCATGAACCGATTGATGTTAGACCACCATTGAAAACCTGGAAGCACTGGATGGCTGATGAGTCTCACAATAGGACGAAACGACCATCTAGTGCTTCCAGGTTTTCAGTGGTGGTCTAACACCAACCGGTTCATGATCTCAATCAAAAACTTATCAATCTCCACAACCCCATATTGATAAAAAAATTATTTTTTCTTAAGTCATTCCCTATGCGTACATATATATATCATGCACAATTAGCAAACTGAATCTCCATTAATGCGTAAAAAACTTTATATCATCAGTTACTAATAGGCTTACCGAAAATAAACAAATGTAATTGTCTTATAGTTGCAAAACTATTAGATGGCTGTAGTTTATATGTTAGTTGACTCACTGAATATGATCAGGAGAAATTTCTAAGAAAAATATATCATACTAAAATCTGAATCGTGCAAATTAACAGTAAAATAATTTACAAATTCAAGTGGTCTGTAGAAGAAGATGATTGTATGATTCATAAAAATATAAGAAACACTAGATAGGTGTTTTGGCCTAGTTAGAGAATAATCAGTTTAAAGCATACTTAAATCACTTTTTTCGTTTAACTCAAAGTAAATAATGTGAACACTTAGTCATGGAATTACAACCTCTTAGTTTCCGTTATAATATGACTAGTATGGCTCATCACTACTCTCATTTCTTTAAATCACAAGTTCAAATAAATAATTCAAGACTCTTGTTTTAAAGTTATTAATTGATGAGCGGAAGACTGATAGCTCGCACGAACAACATTAGTAATATTTTCTGTTGAAAGTCTACAGTATATATACTGGGATAGTCGCTTCATGTTTTCCGTTATTCTGTATTTCAAACATTCATAAATCTTCCTGAGGTTATTTAGATAACATTTAGTCGGCGAAATAAGATATCATATTGCTAGCCAATGATCGTCAAGTAAGTCTATAGCCTATAACATTCCCTGGAAAATTCATTACAAAAAGTTTGATTTAATATACATTCACGTGCTGTCAATCACTGCATTCTGATATCTTCGTGATAAGCGGTTTTCTGTATTTTATATGTTGATGGTGATAATGATAATATTTAGAATTTACTTCAAATTATCTCTTAAAGAAGTAATCTGGAAATAGCTAACTTGATCTATTCTTTTTTCTCTGGAAGATAGCTTTTTTGAGCAACTGGTTTTAATTCGGTTATCACCTGATATAGTTTGATACCTATCTGGTATTCGTCCACTTGTTTATCCAGGTGCTGGTGAACAGTAATAATCTTTATGCATGAATTCGTACACTCTGAACTATTGAATTTGTTTATCGTTGTTTTTCACCAACTTGTATTTAAAACATAATTGATCAGAAGTTTCTCCTATGAGTTCCCCGAATACTAATTTAAGTGTGATTTATTATCTAAACAATTTAGGTTGGAGGTGAATTTCTAGTATTTCTTGTATACTCCTTTCTGCTTGGATTTCCAAAAGATTAGATATTCATTTCGAATCTGCTTCTGTGATAATATTTGGTAAATACACTATTTCAATCAAGACAATCGCGCATTAAATTAAAAGCCTACGTGCATCGAGGTGGCCTGCTTGAATATCTGGGCTACCTGTTCCTGCCATCTAGATATCCCAACAAGTTATCTGTTTCCTTGTTTGTTTTAACACATCATTATGCCTATTAGTCTCATAACCTATTCAAGTGCGTTTGTGAAAAGTTTACGACATTTCGCTGTACAAATTATAAAAGAGCTCTATCAGAGACGCAATGGTTGCTGGCAATATGCATCGAGAAGAATGTACATTATTCACATGTAGATTCCTGAACTGCTAACATCTAACTGGCAACCACTCAATATTTATCGCAAGGATCGATCAAAAAATGAGAAAAGGAAACTTGTTGTGATACATCGTGCTGAAAATTTTATATTGTACCAAAAATATAATGTTGAATAAAACCATCAATAATAATTATTACTGTTAAGTTGTACGCAAGTAATTAAGAACTGAGTAACTTTTCAGCAAGTCCAGAATCTTGTATTTTATATTTTGTATATTGTGCTAAGCGGATTCAGAACAGAACAAATAGCATGAAGGCACTCAATATTTCTAAGTGTCCATTCACCTGCTGATTTTCATTTCTCAATTTATATACTGCTTCAATGAATCTATGCGTTTTGTTCATATGTACACTTAGATTGTTCATAGAATAAACTGATCTCATATAAGAGATTACTTACTCTGAATTCTCGATTTCATTAACTATGTTCAATGGTTTTCTTTGATATACTGTGTTTACAATGTGATACTTGGATATCAAAGGAAATTGGCAACAAATGAATTAAATCTAAATGAGATTTAAACAAGAATTGAAGAATTTCACGATTCAAGGAGAACATAAATGTACATAAAATAAATATAACTTCAATAGAAATAAACATTCAATCTCATTACCATCTCTTGATTAAAAAAAAATGGAATTTAACCTCCAAAATTACATCAATGAAATTAATAGGACTAAATCTTGCCTACAAAATATTGATATATAGGTAATTGATTAATTTATTACAGACACAATGATAAAATATGTTCCTTTTATACATTTCAATGCTTTTTAGTAAAATCATTTATCTTTCATCAATTTATTTCTAATAGATTTAAATGTATGTTTACTGTTATATTC